CCCTGGCTTCGTAAATGGAACCCTCGCATTAATTGGAGGGAGGGGTGGCTGCGTATTCGGACCAGCACAGCCCCAGACAGGGAGGCCGACGCCCCAGAGCCTGCTGGCTCCAGCCCCGCATTGGCCGCCAGGGGCCAGGAGAAAATTGAGGGGGAAGAAAAGATTCCAAAAGAGTATTGGGACCTAAAGGGGTTTTTTAGTGAAAAATCTTCAGATAAACTTCCACCCCACAGACCTACTGACTGCTCCATCCATATTTTACCTGGAGTAAAGCTTCCAAAGCAATAGCAATAGCAATAGCAATAGCAGTAGACTTATATACCGCTTCATAGGGCTTTCAGCCCTCTCTAAGCGGTTTACAGAGAGTCAGCATATTGCCCCCAACAATCTGGGTACTCATTTTACCCACCTCGGAAGGATGGAAGGCTGAGTCAACCCTGAGCCGGTGGGATTTGAACCGCTGAACTGCTGATCTAGCAGTAGCCTGCAGTGCTGCATTTAACCACTGCGCCACCTTGGCTCTCATCTTGGAACAGGATGCTGGGTTATCCAAAATAGATAAAGGGCTTCCTTGAGCCAAATGCAAATCCTGATGACTACATGGACATCTCCATGCAGTTTAATTGGCAAAAGGGTGGAAATACTTCCAGAAACTATTGCTTTCTCCTGATATGTTTGGGTTGATTGTTGCTTTAGCCTATAGCCCCTGGATTTGCTATGGTCTGAACCACAAATTTCAAAATTACTTGCTCTAGAAGTTGCACAATTGAGAAACTTTACCATGCTTAAATTAGTTAGGGAACTTGTTCAAAATACAACAGAATATTATAATAGACAGGCTATTGCTAAATGAGACCCTAATGTGGAAATTTTAAAACAAACCTGCACATATAAATTAATTCATTCCTGAGGGATTGGGAGTAAATTAAAAAGCTATAAAAACACAAATTAAGTTCTGTCTGAAGGATTTTTGACATCACCAGTGAGTAAAGATACTTTCCAGATAAGTTGAGACTCTGCCTTTTTTTTACTCTAGTCCATTTTTAAATCTTGCTACATACAACCTTTTTTTCGGGAGGGAGGGAGGGAGGGAGGGAGGGAGGGAGGGAGGAAAGAAGGAAGGAAGGAGAGAGACCAGGGTCCTGAAACCCTGATCAAGAAGCAAATCTCCAGTGAAAAGAAATTGGCTGTGTTTGAGCAAACCTAGCATGGGGAGTTATTCACAGAACCCTCATATTCCACAGCACACTATTTGAAAAACCTTGATAATAGAGATCATTGTGAATGGTCATACAAGAGGTTATATACAAAGTTGAAACCACAGTAACCTTATATATAATAGCTCCCTCTGGCCCCTGATCAGAAACCCAGTGAGTCTCCATCAAGTTGGCACTGTTCCTTTCTCACCTTTAACTGGATTAAAACTGCTGTGACCAACCACTGAGAACAGGCTTTCTGGCTAGCCATCAAAAGGCTTCAATGCTACTTTTAATTGTTTTGACCAGGAAAGCTGCTTTTACCACCTGCTTCCTTCCTGGCTGTATTATGCTCTTTGACCTTTCTTTGGAAAGAAGGAAATAGTCTGAAATGTGGCTTGTTTATCTATATTCAAAGACAGGCAGGAAGGCAGGGTTTTTTTTTGGGGGGGGGATCTTCAACCTGCAGTTATATCTACTAAAAAATCAATAGGAGATGGCAGACGAGGAAGCTTAATATATCAGTGGGAAACAAAACTTGCAAAGTCCACAAGCAGCTCAGATAGACTTTGACTTGCTTGAAGAACGACACTGACCTAATTAATGGAATAATAACCCCCTCTGGCCTCCATATAAGACATCTCAATGTTTGTAGCAAGTAGGGTTACCAGATATGTGAACAAGCAGAGAAGGACATGAATAATTAGAAAGGAGGAGAAGTGTGTGTGTGTGGGGGGGGGATTAATATATACTAACTGCAAAAATCTACAAAAAATATTTAGACCTACATGTATATGAAATTATATTTTGCAGCATCAGAAACATTGTTTTTTTTTAATTTTATGCTATCAATAACATTAACAATGATCGGTACTTTTCAAATTCCACGACAGACTCATGTGATCTACAGACTATAGCAATTGTAGATTTGAAGGGGTCGGATAGAAGCTGATTGATGGAATCAGGCGATAAATTAAATAATGTAAATCTAAGCTGTCAAGTCTGTTGACAGACTAGAGAAAGAAAAAAGTAGACAATGTACAAGTCACAATATGTGAAAGTTTGAAGGACTACTGTTTTGAAAACTATCTCCCCTCAAAGAGCCAAGATAAAAAGCTGGACAATATTTAATTTTAAGGCTAGACTTGCTAGACAGAGGACCCAAAGGAGTATTTGCCGGACAAGCCTAATAATAAGGAAGCTTCCCTACTGAAAAAGTTTTTTTTTAAAATTCTGGGACCTCTAGCATGATGCTATACTGATTTCCTACTCTTACTTTAAATAAAAATATCAGATGATTTTTAAAGGCTGGCAAAGCCCCCCCCCCCCCCCCCCGCTCTCTCTCTCACACACACACCAATAGCTTCAGGGTTTCAATCTTTGAAACTATATAAACCACCAAATGTAAGATGAAACAGGCATGCATACAAGATAAATTGAAATTAATATATATTTTGATTAACTAAGATATCTGAATTTTCACTAAAAATACTGTGAAGCCATGCATGCATAGAATTCTTTGCCCATGACTAAAATACTTTCAGTCTGGAACAAAAGCACTACAAATATGCACATCTTTCTAAGAATTTTTGAGAGAAGACAAGATCCAGGTACCATTTTCAGAAATATGAAAACTAATACTTCAAGTTAATAGTAGCAAAAGTGGGTGCAACTGGCTTGTAGATGGTAGGCTGAATTACACACACACATTAAACTGGGGGGAAAATATTTAGCAAACATAATGGAAGAATTCAAGACAATTTGTCTGTGGATTTAATGGGCTTTTCATTTAGTTCTGGTATAAAACTAACCAGAACAGTTAACAGAATAACAGTTGGAAGAGACCTTGAAGGTCTTCTAGTCCAACCCCCTGCTCAGGCAGGAAACCCTATACCATTTCAGATGTTGGATTTAGCACATTTTACAGTGTTAAGAAAAGACACTGCAAAGTTTACATAATTTCATTACTGACTGTGTTGTTTTCTAAATTCTACGAGATTGATCAGAGAGTTGTAAGGAATACCCTCCTAATAAAACTGGACTAATAAATTTTTTTTAATATGCTGTAATATTAAAATATTGGTTTGAAATTTTCAAACATTTGGGCCACAAAAGCTTACTGAAATATATAGATGAATCTGTGAGTTTTGGGTTTTTAATATGCTACAATCTTACTCCTTGTGGTCGCACACTGCATTCAGCATTCTAATACATACAGAGGAAAAAACAATGCTATTGAAAACAAGCTGGGCCTCTTACAACAAACTGAATTCATTCTTCAGATATTTTGAGGGTATTGCAATCCAAACAACAGGCAAAAATATATTTTATTCTATACTCACAGTCAACATATGAAGTAAATTGTCATATTGTTACTACTACTTGGTGCAAATTAAGCTCTTGGTATACTGAATTATGAGGGTTTTTCAGTTTATTATAAAGTACAACCTGATGCCTTTAAAGATATTGGATTGTTGCCATCATATTCAGCATTTTATACCATGAGATAAGCGATAGATAGATAGATAGATAGATAAGGCAGACAGACAGATGTTCAGCTATTGGTTGACTAATATGTAGAGCTGCAGTTCAAAATCTTGACTTAGCATCTGGTTGAGATAGGCTTCAGGAAAAGCTTCTGACCAATGTAATAATGGATCTTGTATGTTACAACCATTGTCTTTTCAATTAATAATAAATGCCTTTATCTCACGCAAGTCTAAATACTTTATATTAGCACAATTTCTATCTAGGTGCAACTTTTTCTTAGTCCTTATTTCAAAAGGGTTAGGGTTAGAAGTTTACAAAAACAAATTCACAATAAAATAAAACCCACAACAAAATAATAGAAAGGCAAATCTGTAATGAATAATTAATTCTTAGCAAGTGGGACTTCTGTCTGGCTGTGAGCATGGAATGGATGGAGTCTACAAATGTCCCTGAACATGGCTCTTTTTTAAATATAGGCTTAAAGCATTTTTAGTTCACATACTGGTCTTCTCTTATAGAGAAACCCAGGAATATCACAAAAGCTCTATTTATTTTCTCTGTAGAATAAAATAAATGAGGTCTGATATAAAAACAAGCATCACAAATTTCTTATTCCAGTTCATGGTTTAAGGGGAATCCCTTCCTTTTCCTCAGTTCTTGATTTCAATATATTCAGGAATATCTTACAGTTCTCCATTTCTTGAAGGCAGTGAATATATTGGTTTTTTTGGGGATATTTAGAGTGAATGGCAATATCCTTGTAAAGGGAGATCTTCCAGGTGGACAACTTGAGGACACTTCATCCATGGCAATCCATTTGCCTCAGTACATCCAGATGAAAAAGCCCTTTGCTGACTTCAAAGGTTAGCATGCTTTCCTAATTTCCTGTACTGGTGCAGCCCGGCAGCTGAAGAATGCAAGCTTTGCCACCTGGGAGCAGCTGCTGGACAGAAAGCCAGCCAAAAGATTTGTGTCAAACACAAACAGCAGCTGCAGAACAAACAGTGCTCACCTAACTGGCTTTTGGCAGCAAGAAACATTTCAGCATTGGAAACTATTGGGGATTCTCTGGCTGTATCCATTCTAGGAGAAAAAATGGGGGGGGGACCTAAGTCAAATCTAGATTTAGGAAACAGCTGGTAATTGCAGCTGCAGTTCTATGGAAAGAGAGAAAATATAAGTTAAAGGCACTTAGGGCCTGCTCTTAGAAAGAACACTACAGCAAAACATGTATCTGATGATTTAAATGTGACCCTGAGCATTCTCTGCTGTTTTAGGAACATCTCAAAATCTGCTCTGTCCAAATTCTTCCCCACTAATTGGGAGTCTGCTTAGAACAGAAAACTATACACGGGAACTTCCGGAGAAAACTAGGCTACTTAAAAGCTCTGAAGCCAGTTCTTTTATCTATATTATTGTGTTAATGATGAGTCAGTCACTATTAAGGTGACCCAAAGAAGAGTAACAAATCCCCAATCAATGCCAGGCATAAGAATAATATTTCCCTTCTGGCAATATATTTTCTTTAAAGTGAGTTGCCATATTCAATATTCACTTACTGAATGCAACATTAGCAATTGGGTTATCTCCTTGATATTAAAGGAAAAAAATAGTAAACATTGCATTTGTAACAAGAGAGAGGTGAACATCTGAACAAAGTAGCAATAATTGGTTTAAGGTTTGCTGAACAAAATCCAGAGTGCTTTGGTACTGAGATGTAAGCATGCAACATTCAGTTCTGATTACTGTGAAATCACAATAATTCCAGACAACAGAAACATACAGAACCACAACATTTCTAGTTCTTACTGGGGGACTGGGGCGGATAGGGGGGAGGCAATAGATTTAATTTCTCATTCATGTACCAAATTTAAATGCTCTAACCGTTCAAAGCCACACTACTGTTCAGAATGGGGGAACTGGCTTTGGGAAGCACAAAGAGGAGGAAACAGAAAAAATAATAATTATAGCAGAAATGGGGCTGGTTTTCAGTCCTGGATTGATTAGGCTTGTTTGCATTCTTGCAATTTGAAGTGGAAATAAATACATACTATTTTGATTTTTTCTGAGAAAAAGACATTTCTCCAGCAAAAGGAGGCTTTCCTTCCTTTTCTCCAAGTTCTTTTCCTTCTCAGCTGATACCTCAACTGTTTCAAATTTTTCTTTTTGCCCCTCTCATCTTCAGCAATTACCCCTTCCTCCCTTCCCCAAATAATTCTGACTAAAATAATCTGGCACATCTCAAAAGGAAGAAGGGCTCCAAAATGGTAATGCATACGCTTGTGCACAATAAGCCCTTTTCAGAATGAGCAATGGTTCAGTGCCCATGTTGTGCTGCAACTCCAACCTCAGAAAAGGACAAAGCAAGGAGACAAGAGGGCTAAATTGCTAAAGAAATGAAAGAGAGAAAAAAAGCACATCCACCCACAAGTCAGAGACCACCCCCTGCTGCGGCCAGTGGTGGGCATGCATTCCACACATGCAAGCAAGCAAGCAAATATAGCAGCCTCCTTCCGGGTCTGTAGGGAAGGTGCAGCAGCAGCTGCTTCTGCTGCTCACTCCCCCCCCCCCAGTCCCCACCTGGAGCCACCATTTACCCACTGTCTGTGACAGGTCAATTATCTCCTGCCAAGACAAGGACAGGGGTCATAAAGGGAGAGAATGACGCCTGCAGGTCAGGAATAAGCAGCAGGAGACAGAGGGGCTCCTGCAAAAAGAATAGCTTGCTTTCATCTCTGGCCACAAAACCGAAGAGAAAATAAACCTTAAAAAAGAACCTTCAGGGCAGAGATGACGCTGCAGGGAACTTGGTCCAGCAGTTAACAGCAGCTGGACCTAAGAG